TCATTATCACAAACGTTGGAACAATTGCTTATACGAGAATTCTTAGATTCGTGAAAACAATGGATTCAGTGCGAAAGCAGTAGTTTTTACAATGCTTGCAATCAAGAAACATCGTTTATTAAAAAATATAATAATTTACTTAATTATGAAAAAATAATAAAAGGCTAGTCGAATTTGACTGTAGATTATGGCATTGATTGACACGAAAGATTTACGAAAAACCGCGAAGAAGGTTAATCGATTACAAGACCACCAAGGTGCAAGACGAAGCAACGCGCAAGAAGCGAGGAAAGCGAACGGAAAGAGAACCGAGCAAATCGCTGATGGGGACGAGGTGCGACAGAAATTGCGAAGTCGCGGGTGGATCGAAAATGTATGAAGGAGATCGAGGGGGAGGAAACGGGAGAGAGAATACGGGACGCAACCGCGAAATCGGACCGAGCCGTGAAAATAACGATTTCTCCTTTGTGATGCGCTCCGTGTACGTTAAAGCGAGAAGGGCCGGTTTCAGTAGGAGAGATTCATCATCGGGCCCGCGTGACTCGTCGATATTTTTCTCGGGAACGCTTCGAGAATCGATATTTTATGTAGATCACGCGGAAAGGGCAGCACGCCCTCGTCGCCGGTGGCTATTCTCGCCTTGGCGAACAAAAACACCCTGAATCAGAGAATGAGCGGAAGAAACGAGAGTGAAGGAGAAAAAGGGACGAAGAGAATTTCTAGAAGAGAAGACGCACAGAGAGAGAAAGAGAGAGGGACGCTGCCGCTTAGGAAAGGGACGACGTTGCACGGCGTTGTGGCCAGAATTCATCCAGAAAATGGAACTTTTTCATAGCGATTCCTCGCTCGCAAGCGAAGAAAGCGCCTGTCGCTATTCAGTCCGAGTTCGTCAATTTAGATGGGAATGTTTGGTGAAATCGGAGCACCCCTGCCTCCCCTCCATGATGGAATCGATATATATATTGCTGATTTTGCGTGAGTGACTTTAATATCTGAAAAATTTGAGATAAATGATCTTGTCTGAAATTCATTGATTAAATAGATTCCGAAATATTATCGTGTATCGATTCGGGAAGATAAATTAATGCAACACATTTTTGACATGCTTCTTCTACTTGGTTTTTCGATCTGACAAGCGATAAATTGTCAAGAATAATTTCTCTGCTTTCCTTGCGTCAAACTAATCACGACAACAAATTTAGTCACGTAATCTTTGGTAGCGAGCTACATCAGGTGCGTTATTGCGGTCGCTTTATCACCTGACGGACGTGACTTGCACGCGGTGCAACACTCCTGATTCCGAAAGTCGCTCGTGCCCGAGTCGTCGGCCACGTAGTTTTCTCCGCGGATCACGCGAGGAAGAGTCTCGCTGTGTCGAGGGAGAAGGCGAAGGTCACTTCGCATCCTCGACCTCTCGCAGAAACAAGCACACACATGCAACGCGCACCGCACGAGGGTTGCATCCAGTCGCACTCCACGTATCGAGACACCGATACCGCCCCGTGTGCGTCGCCCTCGCATCTGTGCGACTTTCGACGACGCCCGCTTTCGTCGTGATCGTGCGAGTGTGCGTGGGTGATGGATAGACGGTTACCGTGTCACTCGTGCGAAGCGCTAAACGGACTTGAATGGCTCGAAATTGCATGGGCGACTGCATTGTGCCCGCGTCGACGCACAATAGACGGCCGCGCGGATGCGCGCGTGAGTATGCGTGCGCCGATGTGTATGCAGATGCGGCACAAAGAGACGTCGAGGATCCATCGGGAGATAACGATCTTCCAGATGAGTGACATTCTTTCGTTGCGGCTCGATATCGAGTCGACCCGCAGGATAACCGGCGGGTGGATCGCGCTCCCAATAGCCATTCCCTTTCATCCGATCGTAGGAGTGAATCTGCTGGTATTTTGGAACTAATAGCGGAGTTAGAATTTATTTTTTTTGTCGGAGGTATTAATGAAAATAGAATTATCCTTCATTATAATGGAATTATTTCTTGAAGTAGCTTTTCGAAACCGTTTTCATACGAAATGCATTCTTTTCCACCTAAGATTTTATCCTTTTCCTGCACAATCCGTTGCGCGCGCAACTTTACGGAGATACGTTAAAAATCCGTTAACGTTTATACTCGCGTCTCACTCTCATTCATCTTTCTCTTTCGTAGATTCTCAGGGAGGTGCGTCTGTCCTGAAAAAATCTCGCAAATATCCGTTGGTTTTTTTAAATCATCGCTCGTGATTCGTCGAGAGCGCCGGTTTACTCGCGAACTCGTTGGAAAAAAAGTAAAAGAAAAACCGTCGCTTCTTCTATCTTTGTGTACACGCGTATCTGTGTGTGACTCTACACATGTATATGTTGCAGAGAAAGAAAAAAAGAAAGCAACCGCCGATAGTTTCATCCGCGAATCGCTCTCTCTCCTTTTCCGTTATCAAAGACATCACACCTGGTATAATGCGCCATTTTTTAACGCGCCGTTCACGGCAACGTACAAAGGAGAGCAAGGATCAAATTGAAATCGGTAAAAATCATCCCAAAAATCTCAGACCCCTTCTCCTATCTCCCCACCTCCCGTCTTTCCCGCTCGCGTCTCGGAGGGGCCCGCAGATTCTCACGGAAAAAAGCGTAATTTTCGATGGAAAAAAGGGAGGGACGATGCAAATTCATGGATGAAAAAGGAAAGCCGCGTGTGAGGCGCGCATGTACCTGCCGCAGCATCCTGCGCAACGGTAAGAACGAGGAGTGCGGGGAGTAATGCGGGACGAGCGGAGGAAGCAGAAGGGCTCAGGTCAACACACTCGGGTGGGGTGAAACGTGCTGAGCGGAGCGAAATTTTATAGGGATTCCGCACCAATAATGTGCGCGTCAGTTTCCCTAAAGGAATTCTACCTTCGACCTGTGTTGCATCTTTTTTTTTTCTTCGATTTTTTACGATTTCGGGGGAATCCTCTCCGTCAGGTAACGCAGATGGAGAAGCGAAAATCGGGTCGGGGGCCCCCGAAAAGCGATGCGTTCGAACACGTAAGATTCACAGGATTTTGAATTCCTTCGCTTACCCTCTCCGCCGCTCCCGTCCGCTACACCAACATAACGATCGTTCCCGGCATCGGTAGCGCCTCGACGGATCCGAAGGATCCATCCTCACCTGCGCCTGCGGCGTAGCGTTTTTACGAGGCTCTCGCGAGCGTTTATCTCCATTTTCGTCTTCTCTCCTTGGCTTTTATCCTGGAATTGGGAGCCGATGGGAAAGCACCACGAGATGAGCGGCTTCAAATGGCTAAGCGACTTCCACTTTTTGGCATCACTGACCCTCGTCCCCCTTCGTTGCCCTTCCGCGGTTTTCGACTTTTCCATAGGAATGCGAACATCTCTTTCTTGTATCTTTAGCTGCGGCTAATTGCTCACTTTAGTTTACCTCACGCTTTCTTATGTTCACTTCTCACTATTGCGGAAAGCAGTTAAAAGGTCTGCAATTGGGAAGACGATGTGCGAAAATGTTGAGATCTATAGTATTTTTAGTAAAAGTAACTTTTTGCTCATTAATTATTGTTTGTATGAGCGATAATTGTTTAAAAGAAACTAAATTATTATTTAATATAGGAATGCTTACATGCGAATAAATTTTATTTAATATACACGTATGTCAATCTTTCTAAAATTATTTAATTGATTTGCAAACAATGCGGAAGAAATGCTTTTAATTTCTAATTCGACACTCAATTTGAAGATTTTTACTGTTTTAAAAATATTTATACACTGTTACAAGTACGTTCAATATAAATTATACAATTCTGCGATTTTTTAAGCGATATACACAAAGAGAATGTGTACAAAAAGAATTCCAACTTCCAGATAACGTATGAGTCTCGTTGTTTCGACAGCAGTTCTGGGCGCGCGCGCACGCGCGACATACGTCGGCCGCTATAAATTCTCTTTGAAAATAGCGCGGCGTATCGAAATAATTATTAAAAATCACGCAGGGGTCAATCGCCTAAGCCTGTTTTCTCCGAATCGGTTCCGTGCCATTATCCGGCAACCCCGGCAACGAAACGAAGGAGAGGCTCTCGGTAAAGGGGTGGCGAGGGAGAGGAGCAGTCATAAGATACGATGATGGATGCTCGCGAAGGGTTGCTGCCGCTGAGTAGGGGGAAAGGGCACGTCGAAAGGGCAAAAGGGTTCGCGTCGACCAATCGGCCTGACGTAATCAACACGCCCGACCAATCCCGGGGCCCGACTGGGCCACATTGGTGGAGAGGGTCGTTGCGCCCTTACAAGCCCAGTTTCGTTGCGTCACTCTGACATTCGCTCCGTATCGGTCTGTCGACGAAGATCGGCACTGTCGCGGTGACCTTCGGAATCCCGGGACGACAAGCTCATTTTTTTTTTCGCTGGATCTTCCGAATATCGCGTAAATATTAATGAAGTGCCGATGAGCGATAATTAAGTCCAACCGCGTTTTAGTCCTTCGTGCTCGATCAGTTGAGTTTGTGCGGAAAAAGGGTGGAAGGCCGGCGCGTCTCTCTTTTTGGACCCAAGTTCACACCTTTTTCCGTCTCGATGTCTTTCGAAGCGGGATGAGATCACGTCGGTCGATAAGTCGACGTGGGATCGCCGAGCGCGATCCTTTTCACTTTCATGCGAAAGATCGACCGTGGTGGACTCCGATGTAGGGACGGCGATTGGAAGTGACGAAACTATGATGGTCTTCCTGGAAGAGCCCAGGATGATCTTCGCGGACATGCATCTTCATGCTACCAGCACGCCGACCTCCACGTCCACGCGCTACCACCACCATCGGAAATACAGGGCGCAGAACAATAACGATTGTATGGCGATAGCACATTAAGATGGATTCTTTTCTGATAAATTCGATTCAACGCGCAAAGACTGTATTGGGAGTTTTTTTAAATTTACATCGTGTCTCGAGAATTCTAACAATCACAACGCCACGTTTGTAATAAAGTTAAATATCTTTTCTCACGGAATTTTCCTTGTTTGCGTTGCAGATGCAGACTTACACGGTGATGTCGACGCCCCGGAGCTCAGCGGCGATGACAGGAGTATCGCAAGTGATATTCAAGATACCACGGAAGCGCATCTTGATAATGACTCCATGGATTCGGACAGGGAAGCTCTCAACTTGGTAAGTAATCTTCATTAATTATATTTATTTTATTTAAAAAAATGTTTTTATATTGTTGTCTACTTATTATCAAGACATTTTGTTACTTTTATAAAAATTTGATTGCATAACTTTATAATTTTGTAACGTTTATAAATTGTATGCAATGTTATTCAAATTCATGATTTTAATAGCTGTTAGTAGAAAATTCTAATAATTGTGTGTGAAATTGTTATGCGCAAGCGTTTGCTACATAAAGTTGATATGTGTGACATGAAAATATCGATAGGAACACTCTATTATTACATATATATCGCGTGTTAATAATTATAAGGAAACGCGCGGAGAGTGCTGAAAAGAGGCGCGGCTTTTAGTGCTGCGAGCAAAATATACGAGCATAATTCGCAAATAATTTGCCATGCCGTCTTGCGTGCGCGAAGCTACAGGTGTTTGGATAATATGCGCGAAATTAGTTGCTCTTCTTGGTCTCAAGTCTCGTGTGTCAACGATTTAGCTACATTTTATATAATATGTGGTCTCAAATTGATAATAAACGGTGCAAACGTTTATGAAACAATGAATTATCATTGCATCGCCGTTGCTATGAAATGAAGAAACGCGCATCATAATAGTATACAGATATAATCTCGCATTATAGTAACATGTTGCTTATTCTATGCGACTGTAACGCAAAAAGATGTTACGAGCGTTAAATTTATCTTATATTTTGTTTTTCTAAACATAATTTTTTAGTATAAAAGTAGGAAGAGGATTTTATCAAACATTTTGTCGACCAAATAATATATCAGTTTATTTCTGATTGAGAAATAGTAATTGTAACATTTTGACTCTTCTTCAATTAATCAATTTCGTATCTTATTTGTTATTGTTATTGATTGTAAAATATGTCTTCGTACTTAGCTCATCAATAACGTTCTCAAACGATGATTTTCTTCAATAACTCAATTTCAATGGTATTCTCGCTACTTATTTTGACGAAAGCGTGCTTTGTCATGTCACCCATTGTCATGCGTTGCCTGTGTATAAGTTGCTTAAATGTATCAACAACAGTACCAATCCCATTTGCGAACGTAATATCCGGCGTGCTTTCTTTCGGAGAGGAGCGTCGCCGAGCGGCGCAGCCGTGTCTTCGATTTTTTTCTTACGGAGACACTCTTGACGGGCGTAAAAAGCGCTCGCGATCAATATTTGACAAATAAATAAAGGAAGCCACTAGCGAGATGGACGACGTAGAAGGGACGGCGTAGGGAGAGTAGGTTTTATAAAACACAAAAGCGCAGGATGGACCGTAGTGACCAATATCCTGACCTGGCCGAGTGTAAACACGGCTTTGTTCGACGGCGAATTTACTCTGTAATATTAGGGAGGGTGGCCGTCCTCGCGTGGCGTCCGGCTGATTCTTCGTGTTCTCGGTCCCACGTTACAGTGTGAAATCTCGTTGCCCGCATTTCGGGGGGCGTACAAGACTGTCGCTTGATGATCTCAAAAGATAAAAGCATTCATTCGTGGAACCATTCATTCCGAGAGTCGTCGGCGCGATCATAAAGATGACTCGTAATCTTGACTTCTAGAATTGTAAGATATCAACGATACGCCGATGGCGATAAATCTTGAGACACAACATGTACGCGATCTGTGGAGATTTTGGAGATAAATCTAATTGAATGGCAAGCTGAATTTATTGATGCGAAAAATTCAACGCAAATTCGACGACACTGTTTTAGGTCACGGATGTCTCGCAACGAAACAGCAGTAGCGGTACCAGCGGCAGCGCGTCCTCGCCGAGTTCCGGGGTCAGTAGCCAGCTCACGGGTAGTCATCAGCAACAAGCGCAGCAGCAACAACACACGTCCGGCCAGCAGAACAACTCGGCCGCGCTGGCACAATTGGTCAGCCAGCAATTGCTGATGCACGGTTCTCTCGCGGCACTCGGTTCTCAAGATATGCAAGCGCTCGCCTCGACGTTGCAGCAACAGCACCAAACGCTGCAGCAACACCTACAGCAGTTGGCCATGTTTCAACAGGCAAATCCGGCGACGGCGGGCCAGCTCCCGCCGCAGGCGCAGTTCTTTCTACAGAATCAAGTGAGTATACGAAGTTAAGATCAGCAACCTCGAAACTCAGTGTCATTCCCTACCAGCGACTATTCTGCTGAATTACCTGCCTACTCGATACGAATTGCCGATTTCGTCGACGGGATCGAAGACGATCGGCGCGGATCGCCGAAGCAGCGACGTTTCGGCCGGTGCTATCTTGATCGGGCGCAGATCAGGCGAGAGCGGACGTCTTATTCTTCGCGGACGGCACTCTCGCGATTCGACATCGAGATAGCCGTCTGGCGACGGCACAAAAGGGGGCCGGGATGCTGCCTCCTCGTTTAGGCTCGCCGACGCAAACGTGTGCGGACAGCGCTAACTTGCAACCGCGTCACGGTCGAATCTCGCACTCCATTACGCCGTTCAAGTTTTCAGAAGTAATTATCGAGACAATCCCGACAGACTTTTGCATATAATTTTTTTTTATCTAATATTTAGCCAAATTGTCTCGCGTAATATTTATTGAAGAAACGATAGTCGGAAAGATCTTGATCGTAAGATTTTACGTAGGAGATTAGAACGTTTTTAAAAGATCTAAATTTTCAAGTACTTAAATTTGATATCATTGGATTTCTAATGACGCGGGAATCTAAAAAAACGTACATAAAATGAATAACTGAAGACATCTCCGGAAAAGACATACAAAGAGATTCCTGATTTCCCTCGATAAGTATCACGTTTCGGACATGCTTCAAAATCCGCCTGACGATCGCCGAAAAAGAAGCGACATATTTATCAGTCTCACAGTACGCATTCCTGCGATGAAAGGAGCGTTCTACGATTTTCTCACTATTTGTTCGTCGGATCCTTCGGATCGGCAGACGGGCGAGGAATCGATCCACGATATCCGGGGATACGTTGAAAAACGATCTCGCTTCCTGGATGCGCTCCCTCCCTCCCCTCCATCCGTGCGGCCCTTCTCGCGAACGATCTGAATAGGCCGGGCTCTGCATTTATACAAAAAAAAAGAAAAGATGCCCATAGAATCCGTCACGACGTGCGCGTGCAACTATAGTCTCCCGGAAAAATCAACAAAACGACTTCGAGCTTTAGCACATTTAATGGGCACCCGCGTTCGCCGTGTGTATTATACATTTATTGTGCACGCACACGTACACGCGTATTTGCGCGTACGGTCCCGTAGGGCCTTAGATTTCTCCCGTCTCTCTCAGACCGGTACGGCACAGTGCGACAAGGTGGGCTCAAGACCCTTCGGCACCTTGCCATGGGGTGCCTTTTGTTACCTCACACGTGGCCAGGATGTTTCCTTTTTTACATCCCACTCTTTCTCCTCCTAAGCTACGGGAGGATTCTCCTCTATGTTCTTCTTTTTTTTTTTAATCGCGCGGAGCATTAAGAAGGGCACACGACCTTCTTCACTCGGGAAACCGTTTCACCGAGTACAACCTGCCTCTTCCAACCCCTTCGCAGGCGGCCACGTGAGGGTCTTTGTTGTGGCTTATCTGCCGCAACAGATATTTAATTTCTTCATTCGGAGATCATCTTTCGCGAGTTCTTTATATCTTAGATCATGCGCAACGATAAAGTATCGTTTAATATAAAACAATCTTTCTTTTAAACGCGAATATAATCCAAATTATTTAAAAATATATAACATGATATAATAAATATTGTTATTGTTTTAATACTAAAGTTTGTTTTAAAAGTTTAAAAGGTTTTGTTAATTTTTCTTGTATACTATAATTGCACACGCGCGTTTTATGTTTTTTTTTGTTAAAAAATTTTAAATAAAATAAATAATATAAAGTATACATATAATATTTATTTTTTAAATTGAGTTTTGTAATTATCAGATAGAAGTAAACACGTGCACTGATACTCTATCAATATTTATATTATCTAATACTTTGTAAAAATGTGCATTAACCTTCCATTTGATAAACGGAAGATTAGCTCTATAAAGTTTCGATAGGTGCCTTGGAATTCTAGATGATAACCTGTCGCGGCTGATCCCCGCACGTGACTCAACTCGAGGCGTTTCCGTAGGGTGTCTTCTTGGCCACAATGCGCATAAACTAGCTGCTCGTATGCCGGCGACACGCGACCAACCCTGAACCCTTTCCGTTCCGGGACACCGTACTCGTGACGCGAACCCTTCATTCTCATAATCGAGCGTCATGGCTAAGGAAAGAGTGAAGATAATCGATCGGACAGATTCAACCCTTGGAATTGTACTTTTCGTACCTGTGTACACACGAGCCCGACACGTGCCGCGCGATTCATCGTTTCGTAAAAACATTGAGACGTTTATCTTTATTTGAAACTGACAAGTGCAAAAGTGAATGTAATCTAACTATACTTTTCAATTGCGAAGTCACACCTTCGCAGGGATTTTGTATTTTGGATTTTAAGAATGACAAATCAATTATGGTGACTGAGTTTTAGATTTGAAAGCATATCTTAAAGATCAGGAAAAAATGCGATCGAGATCTAAAATACCACATGAAATTCTTGTTGCGAATAGAGATGAAGTAGAGCGCTATTACATTGATCTTGACAATTGGTCGTCAACGTCTTGCAGGGGCTGTTACAGAGCGGTGGCTACCCGACAAGACCGAGTCATCCGCAGTCACAGTCCATGCAGGTACGATTTAAGACAAAGTTGTGTCTAGACATTGTTTAACGGCAGATCTTTCTCTGCGGATGAAAATTGATATTTTCAAAATTTTGTTACAAATGACAGGAACGCTACAACGCTTTCAGATCTCTTGACACAGCTTTGATTTGTGTACTTAAAAATGTCTGCAACTGCGAGTGATTGTGGTTATTTTATATAGCTAATTTGAATTTTTCTGTTCAAACATAATTTGTAAGACGTGATTAAAATTATTAGGTGCAACAAGCGTTGGCGCAGTTACAGGCTCTGCAGAAGCAGCAGGCTCTTCAGGGTAGTGGCGGTTTAGTCGGGCGAAATTTGACGCAGCAGAGGTCACCTCCGCCGCCCGGTACACCGCCGGCGGTGAAACCGCCGGTGAAGTTAGAACCCTCGCCAGAAGAGACAACAGACCTCGAAGAGCTGGAGCAGTTCGCCAAAACGTTCAAACAGAGGCGGATCAAGCTCGGTTTCACTCAAGGAGACGTGGGACTCGCCATGGGCAAACTATACGGCAACGATTTCTCTCAAACTACAATTTCGAGGTTAATATAATCACAGTTCGAACTATGATTCGATAAATAATCACAGCTTTCAGATAAACGCTGATATCTTATGTTAGTACTTTTTAATTTTTAGTCATTCTTTGTATGTTGCTTGAATTCTTAGTCGAATATAATAAAAATAAAAAAAAAAAAGAAAGAGAATTTACTTACATTTTAAATTTCCTTGTATGAGAATATCCCAGATTGAAAAGAATTTGATTTCATGCATGTTAACTGTGAATTAACTAAAATCTTCTGTATTTCAGGTTTGAAGCGTTGAATCTTTCCTTCAAAAACATGTGCAAGCTGAAACCATTGTTACAAAAGTGGCTGGAGGACGCCGATAATTCCATGAACAATCCCAATTCTCTATCGAATCCACTTACGACACCAGAAGCGATAGGCAGGCGGCGGAAGAAAAGGACATCAATAGAGACCAGTGTTAGAGTGGCCCTAGAAAAGGCTTTTATCCAAAACCCGAAGCCCACATCGGAGGAGATAACCATATTGGCGGATAGCCTCGGAATGGAGAAAGAGGTGGTTCGTGTATGGTTCTGTAACAGGTAAATATTAAGATTGCTAAAATGCGCGTTATGAAATATTTTCCATATTTAAATTAGCGATTTTATATTATCAATTTCTGTTTTATTCGAACAACGTACAATTATGCTTCAGGAGACAAAAGGAGAAAAGAATTAACCCGCCGACGGTAGCAATGGGCAGTCCAACGATGGCGTCGCCCGCGCCTTCGGTGTTCGCCTCGCTCGCCAGCTCTATGTCTGGCAGTCCTTTAGCTCTTACGACGCACTCCTCCAGCATGGGCCACGCTCCGCATCCGACGTCTTTGCCCTCCCCCTTGCCTCTGGCTTTGGTGGCTTCGGCAGGTGGCAATTATCATTCAATAAATAACAACTCCGTGAATTCCGAGTGACATCAGCAAGCGGCCCATCAAGGGGACGCTCTCTATCATCAGCATCATCATCAGCAACACCAACAGTCACATCATCATCATCAGCAACAACAGCGACGGTTGTGCAACTCTCTATCAGAGTTCTATCATTAGTGGTGATTTGATTTCTTGTAGCAGCTAATCAAGAACGGCTTAAAGCATCAAATGTAGATGATCTACAATCGGATTTCTATATTTTTTACTCATTGGTCTTAATTCAATTTTATTGAACACTCTTCTGAGTAAAATCTTGATTGTAGATCGATATGGTTACAATTATGCATAGCGTTTTAACATTTTACATCATTGATCACCAGATAGAGCTCGGTAGTTCAGTTCAAGAAAGAGAGAGTCCACGCGAGCAAGCCGAAAATAGAATTCATGACAGTTATAATCATTTTTTTAGAAAGGTAAATAAAAAGTGATTAAGAATACGAGAGAATACAAATGAAACAAACGCGATAAAATGAATGCGAGAATATATGAATGCACGTAGGTATGAATGCATATCGTTAAATCATCTGAAGTTGCTGTAAGTATCTATTAAAGAGTATACGAAGATACGCTGCGTTTTGAACTGAGTACGCACATTAGTAAAGTGTAATTTTAGTGTACGAGGAACTAATAGCCGATTCGATTGGATGTATTAATACATCAATAATAATGAAAATGTATATTTGTTTATTATTAAAGGCATATGTAAATTGACAAAACATAAGTATATTTGTTGCATAAAAAAAGTAATCTCGACTTTTGTTTGTCACTATTATAATGGTGAATAAAATATTTTAATGGTAAACAGATAAGTCTTGTGGCAAATAGTATGACGTATTGATCCATTATTTTTTTATAAATAATTCATATTAATGTTTACTGAGAACTTAAAAAAAATGTTTCCATGTTAATAAATTATCCAAATGAAAGACATATACAGTGACGTGCAAAAGTTTCCGGCCAGTGACATTTTGTACTCTAATTTATTTTAAAAAAGTAATAAAATTTTATGGTTTTTTTTTTTATAAATTAGAGTACAAAATGTCACTGGCCGGAAACTTTTGCACGCTACTGTGTATGACTTTCATTTGGATAATTCTTATTTTTCTTCCAATTTACTGTTACGCTACGCAGATGCATTTAATTTTTCTCTTTCAGAAGACATTCACAATCGGGTGTATTATTAAATGCCCAGCATAAATGAATGCTGTTAAAAATATTGTATATTGGACATTTTATCAGTCAAAAACACATAAACTTATGTTATGTTTTTATAATTGCAGATTAACATGTAATTAAATTCGGATAGATTAATGTGTGATCTAATCGAATTTGCTATAAGCTTTATTTATTTTGTATGGCAATATAAGAAATGATGATTTATTTGTGTATCAGATGATTGTAACTTTTCTAAACAAAACTTTAATTTTACGTAAGCACATATACACACAGAGCGTAAAATAATGTGAAGAAGCTTTACAATATCTCTTATATTAAAAACAACATTTTTTCTTATTCGAATGGCATACAATAATATATGACGAACAGAAGTTTACGTTTGTTTTACAGAATCATACTTCTGCTAATAAAGCCAATTATTGATGGACCGTTTCAGTGATACGGAAAATTCGATAATTCTATATTTCTTTTGTCAATAGATGTTCGTAAAAATATGTCAAATTTTTATACATACTTTTACGAACATTTTTTTGTACACACAGAAGGTATAATTAAATCTATGTGTAACAGCGTCGAAGAAAACTTGCGAGTGTTGATGACAACACACTTAGTCCTGCGAGTTATTCGAATGATTTAAGTCGCGTAAAATTATCCAGAAAAACAATTATTTTTTCCTTCCTTATGTAATTATTTTAGGAAACGATTTTATTTGACGGCACTTTTAATGCCTCTCCGTGGTAAGCAGGGTTATGGTGCGTCTCAAGAGCAAAATGCGGCGAAGTCTGACAATGCAATTGTGTATATATATATGTGTATGTATATATATATATATATATATATATGCATACGTAGGCGTGTATGTCATCGTATCGTACATATCTGTGTCACAAGGCTGTATATACCATGTGAGTTTAAGCCTCCTAGTGTTACCAAGAATGCAAGAGACGTAATGTCCACGCGCGGTGACGAGCTTCAATTAATCATGAAACGCTAAACGTTGTAATTCATGCCAAAGTATATTATTGTGTGTACAATTAGTAAGTATTATATATAAATATTGTATATTTGTCGAGGAAACAACAAGAATTCATAGGAAATTTCGGAGGCAACGTTGCCCGCGTGGAAACGTCGGCGAACACTTGTATTCTTGATGAAAAATTTTCCAAGAATCATGGCGATATAATTAGTGATGTAGATTACACGGTAATAGGTAACATGGTAAAATGTATATATGAATATATACATATACTGCGAATATACATATGCGAATGATAGAGGGAGAGAGAAAGCGAGTGTATGTATATCGCTACATCGAGATTGACGCAATGGATTTTCAATATTTTATACACGTTATATTTTAAAACCTTTTTTTTTTTTTTATGGAAATACGCAACACAAGGAATGTATTTAAATATCTACTTTAATAATTTAATAATTTATATTTAGCTGTGTAAACTTTTCTTTCGTAAGTTAGATAGAACTTTTCGTGCATTCCGCTACAATCAATCCGTTTCCCTTTGCAGTGAATTCTCGGTGATGAATTAAAGGGCTATGATTTTAGATTATAGGCCAGGCGAAACGAACGTGATATATCAATAATACAATTATTTCTAAGTCCCATGTGTATGTATAGACTACATTATCAACGTATAGAATTTGCGTAAATGTATACATATATAGCGATTGTATTGTAATATCATATAAGTATCGACTGTCATATATAAACGAATAAGTGCGAGTATCAGCGTATACATATACGAATATATACATACATGTATAAACGGATGTTGTACATAGTAGGATATAATAGTATCGGATCCATCGTGTCGGATCATTGAAAAATAGCAACGTGTTTTATTATCATCGTCATCATCATCACGTCATCATCTATATTATTAATGTCGCTGTGTAGTCATGATACATACTATTGTTGTTAAATTAACGTCGCTTCTCATGTAAATTATCATGAGACTTTACATGTCCGCGGACAGTGATTTAATTTTGTATATCCGTATGTAATTATAGTAAGGGTGCGTATGCGAACTACCGTACAATCTAACAATTTGCACGATATCGTATATCACTGTGTGGTCATGTTGCACTGCAAAATAATCTAGTAGCAGTATCTTGTTATATATATATATATATATATATATATATATATATATATATATATATAAATATACATAAGCTTTAATTGTTTTTTTTTAATTTGTTGTTTTGACAAATGCTATTACAGGATATTAATATAAAGTTGTTAGAAAATTCTTTTGCAATGAAAGTTTGTGCGAATTGTTAGATTATGTACGAACAACGTCCGGCATCCTTCTTTTTTCGACTCATTTCATTCTTTATTTCTATCCTTAAGTCTAAACTCTCAGTCGTGGACCAAGCTGTAGCGAAGACATCGTAAAAACACGCGCGCGGCAGAGGCGAATATGTATTAAGATAAGAGAGAAAAAAAATGATAAGAGGAGATTAAAAAGAGTTCCTAAGGCCGCACACTGGTTGCTAAGTGCGCGAACAACGATGGACGATAAAAAGAGAATAGAAAAGCAAATAAATCGAGAGAAGCAAAAGACAAAGAAAATTATAAAGAGAAAAAGAGGAGGTTTTCGACTTCAGAAATCCGCTCAATCAGCTTCAACAGAAGTTTTATCAGAATTATGCTTCTGACAGAAGTGTTTGTCAAAAGCATAATTAATAGAATAATGACGTAAAGCTATACGATTCCCACCCGAAAAGTTCTCCTCGCTACGGCATCATCTTTGGTTGATTACTTGTTCAATACGTTCGTATGCAAGCAAATAGACGCGCAAGTGAACAAACATT